TTTTCTTAGGTTTTCACGGGTACTTACACGGGTATTCAGCTTTGTTCGGGTATTTTCCCACGTCATTATAATTGTGCTTTTAAAAGTTTAAAAGCACAACTATAATGACGTGGGAAAATACCTGAACAAAGCTGAATACTATAGATAGATAGATAGATAGATAGATAGATAGATAGATAGATAGATAGATATAGACAGATAGATATAGATGAAGATATAGATAGCAGTGGAAAGGAGAGAGATATGCCCATGTTTTGTAGCCACTCTTTCCATTCTCCTCCGTGTGTGTGTGTGTGTGTGTGTGTGTGTGTGTGTGTAAAATTTCTTTCTTTCTCTCTTTCTCTGTCTCTCTTTCTTTCTTTTCTTTCTTTCTCTTTCTTTCTTTCTTCCTGCCTATAAATAACTCAAGACAGCCAACATATCCAACACATCTTCCTCCTCCTATTTTCTTCACAACAACAACCCTGTGAGGTGGGTTGGTGTGAGAGAGGGTGATTGGCCCAAGTTTTTCCCTTCTTCTCCCCCAAGTCAACCATTTTTTTAACCAGCACAATTCTGACAGTGTCCTTTTTTTCCTCCCGCCTTCCTTCCTTGCATAGATCATGCTGGAGATGAAATTCTGGACTGTCTTCTCTTCTCTGGCCATCTTGATCAGCGTCCTGCTTTATTGTCTTTTCACGTACATCACTCAAAACTTCCTAGCTTACAGAACTGCTCCCAAGATGTTCCCCTTTCCTGGTAAGTTACCTCCAGATGTAACTCTTGGGGGATTTCTCTTGCATGTGCAAATTTAAGCAGCAAGTTGGATTGCTTCCTGGGAAGGCTTGGGTCATACAGTATTTACAATCTGGTCCCAAGATGTTAAATAGAAAGAGAGAGAATACCTTTATTTTCATTGCATTCCACAAATACGATGAAATTTGAAAGCTACTCCAGCACAGTGCCCCAAACACCACATCACAATCACACTACAGAGTATTTTTAATAATAATAATAATAATAATAATAATAAACCTAGTCTTAAACCTATCTAAAACATTTAGTTTAAAAATGCCACTATATACAGGACTAAATCACAAATGCACTGTTTGATTCCAGACAATTATTGCCTTGGAAAAGAAACCGTTTCTCAGTCTATTAGTTCTCATTTTAAGACACCTATAGCGTCTCCCTGGTGGTAACAGTTCAAAATATAAAAGATCAGGATGAGAACGGTCTGTGGAGATTTTTAGTGCTCTAGAGAGGAGTCTGGTCTTCGCAATCTCTTCCAAAGAAGAAAGAGAGCAACCGATGATTTTTTGTGCTGCGTTTATAAAAGTGTTTATAGAAAAAGAGAATGAGTAAATTGGATCCCTTATTTATTTTCTCCCAGCATCTCCTATCTTAAAACCACAATATTCAACATCATATTAAGTCACACATCCCGCAACTCAGCTTTAACCTTCAACCACAACCCTACCTCAACCAATCCACCATCACCCAAGACTAGGCACGCACGCCCCTAACTACCTCAACTCCAACTACTGCTGGCCTTAAATGCAAGCTACTCAATGCAAGAAGCCTTGTAAATAAAATACCTGAATTTTTCCTCCTACTAAATATGGCTAAATTCGACATTATATTTGTCTGTGAAACATGGCTCAATGCATCTCTCCCCGACTCCATTACCACAGTAAGAGACTAACATGTTTACCGATCAGATCGTGAAATTCGTAGAGGAGGTGGTGTTGCTATCTTCTACAAAAAGTCCTTACATCTAAAAAATATCCAAGTTACCCAAGAGCTTGCTCTTCCTGAGACCATTATCTGTGAACTATCCTTAAATATCACAATTCGATTCTTACTATGTTACAGAGCACCTGATTATGACATCGAACATGTAAACAAGCTAAATACACTACTAACATGGGCAGCATCCTGCCCATACCCTTTTATCTTTCTTGGTGATTTCAATCTGCCTCATATTGACTGGACCCTAAATGAATGTACAACTGAAACCATACATGCAACCTTTTACAATGCTGTTACAAATCTGGGACTGGAACAGCTAGTATCCAACAACACTAGACTAAACAACTGCCTCGATCTCATCTTCTGCAATAGTTTGAATTTAATTTACGGAATACAAACTAAAGAACCCTTTTCCAGCAGTGACCACAATATTATTGACTTTTGTCTCAACATACGTCCACACAAAAACCACCACAATGATGTGATCCCCAATTATAATTTCAAAAAAGGCAACTATGATCTTATAAACAACGATCTCTCATCCCTTGATTGGCAATCTCTATTCACTGGATGCAATACTGTTGAAGACCATTACAACATATTTTTACTTGAAGTCAAAAGAGTCATCAAACTATATGTACCAACAACTACTCCCAAAACAAAACAAAAAAACAAATTGCCCATAACAATAAGGAAACTTCAATCCAAAAAGAGATCACTCTGGCGGAAAAACAAATCTGGTCACGTTGCCAATTTCAAAAGCCGATACAAAAATTTATGCCACCAAATAAAGACCGAATGCACCAATTATCACATTAAACAAGAGAAAAACCTTCTAAGCACCAATTCCACCAATGCTTTTTACAATTTTGTAAACAACAAACTAAAAGATTCAAGGTCCATCCCACCCCTGATAGGACCTAATGGTAAAGACTGCAACGACGACACCATTAAAGCCAACATCTTTAACACATTTTTTTGCTCAGTATTTGTAAACAGCAATGGATCATGCCCAGCATTTCCTAGCCGAACCACAGATAACTACAGTGATCTAATACATATCGATTTTACAGAAGACAATGTTGAAAAAGCACTACGCAATCTAAAACCATCCCTATCTATTGGACCGGATGGAATATGTGCCTATTTCTTATTCTCTTAAAAAAGTTATCCACTGCCATAGCCAAACCTCTAAGCATAATCTTTGAAAAATCTTTCAGGACCAGTTCCTTGCCTAACCTATGGTCACAAGCCACAGTCATCCCCATCTTCAAAAAGGGAGACCCTTGCCTAGTTGAAAATTACAGACCAATCTCCTTATGCTGCGTCACCTGTAAAGTCATGGAATCAATTATTAACCAATCCATCATCCTCCACTTAGAGACAAACAACCTACTCTCCAATAAACAATTTGGTTTCAGAAAAAAACTATCCTGTAATCTGCAACTCTTACACTGCAAAAACATATGGACTACACAACTTGATCAGGGCAAAACAATAGATGCAATCTACATAGACTTCTGTAAAGCCTTTGATTCAGTGGTACATGACAAACTACTACTAAAAATAAAATCCTATGGTATCTCTGGACAACTGCATAACTGGATAGAAGCATTCCTGTCAAACAGACAACAAATGGTCAAAATTGGGAGTGTCCTATCAAATTCTGTACCTGTCAATAGTGGTGTCCCCCAAGGCAGTGTTCTAGGACCAACTCTCTTCATACTCTACATAAATGACCTCTGTGATCATATTAAGAGCAACTGCGTTCTTTTCGCTGATGATGTAAAGCTGTTCAATACCACAGACAATACTGCTACCCTTCAAGAAGATCTTGACTGTGTATCAGAATGGTCAAACAAATGGCAACTTCAAATCTCAACAAATAAATGCTCTGTCTTACATATTGGCAAAAAAAACCCGAAAATAAAATACAAGCTGAATAGTCAAGATCTTGTTGATGATCCAAGCTCTGTAAAGGACCTTGGAATACTCACCTCTAATGATCTAAGTGCTAGTGCCCACTGCAACTACATAGCCAAAAAGGCATTAAGAGTTGTTAACCTAATCTTACGTAGCTTTTTCTCTGGTAATATCACACTACTAACTAGAGCATACAAAACATTTGCTAGACCAATACTCGAATACAGCTCATCAGTCTGGAACCCACATTACGTATCTGATATTAGCACAATTGAGAAAGTCCAGAAATATTTCACAAGAAGAGTTCTCCACTCCTCTACTCGTTGTAGAATATCTTATGCCACCAGACTTGAAATTCTAGAACTAGAAAACCTTGAATTACGCCGTCTTCGGTCTGATTTAAGCATGGTATATAAAATCATACATTGCAATATCCTACCTGTCAATGAATACTTCAGCTTCAACCATAACAACACAAGAGCACACAACAGATACAAACTCAAGGTTAACCGTACCAAGCTTGACTGCAGGAAATACGACTTTAGCAACAGAGTGGTCAATGTCTGGAATACTCTACCCGACTCTGTAGTTTCTTCCCCAAACCCCAAAAACTTTAACCTTAGACTGTCTACTATTGACCTCACCCCTTTCCTAAGAGGTCTGTAGGGGGCGTGCATAAGCGCACCAACGTGTCTACCGTCCCTGTCCTATTGTTTCTTTTATTTTTCTTTTATTTTTCTTATATGTACTCATTTCATGTATTCATAATTATGTATGCACTTTTACTTATCTTGTAAACAATTGACAAATAAAATAAATAAATAAATAAATAAATATTAAAAAGAGGTGGGAGCAACCTAAGGAGGGGTTTGGTTGGTCCATCCAAAAGCCAAAAGAAAGATTGGACCATTTGTGGTCCAGTGTGTTTAAACTATTCTCTGCCTTAATGTCATTAGGTTGATTCTTACAACAGCACGCAGGTAGTCCTCAACTTACAACTATTCATTTTGTGACCATTTGAAGTTCCAATAGCATTGAAAAAAAAGTGACCTATGACCGATTTTCACACTTATTACCATTGCAGCATCCCCGTGGTCACATCATCAGAATCCAGACAACTGGCATGTATTTGTGATGGTTGCAGTGTCTCGGAGGGTCATGTGATTACCTTTTGAGACCTTCTGACAAGCAAACTCAATGGGGGAGCCACCTCACAATGGCTTTATTAACTTAACTGCTGCAGTAGATTCATTAAACAACTGTAGCCAGAAGAGTCATAAAATGGGGCAAATCTAATAAGCATTGTCTTGCTTGGCAATGGAAATTTTGGGCTCAATTATAGCAATAGCACTTAGACTTATATGCCGCTTCACAGTGCTTTACAGCCTTCTCTAAGCAGTTTACAGAGTCAGCCTCTCCCCTGCAACAATCTGGGTCCTCATTTTACCCACCTCAGACGGATGGAAGACTGAGTCAACCTTTAGCCTGGTGGGATTTGAACTGCCAAATTGCAGGCAGCCAGCAGTCAGCAGAAGTAGCCTGAAGCACTGCATTCTAATTATGCTTCTAAGTCGAGGGCTAACTGTTTATTTGTATGCACAGCACACTGTTATGCAAACTCAAGTGTAAGGTTTATCAAATTGTGTGAATTGTCCTACTCAAAGCATCTTCCTTTCTCCTCCAGAGGCCACCAGGAATGCTCTGACTGACCCAACTGCTGTGCTTGTCATGTTGCTGTGTGTTGTGGTGAACATCATCCCCTCCCTTGCAGTCCGTTTTGTGTACAATACTATCTGGCCTCCGACTATGTCAGAGGTGAGTCCAGCTTTCCAAGGGCAGCAAGCATCAAAAGAGAATTTGATTGGTCGGGTTGCAAGGAATAGTGGAAGGAGAGTGACAGATGAGTGGCTTTGGCTTGATGAACCAGACTGACTAAAAAGACAGGCTTTTAAATGATTAGTGTGTTGCATGAAGCTATTCTGGTTTGATTCTTGATATGGTATATTATATTTGCTCAGAAGCTAGATAATGTCAGTCACCTTTTAGAGACACTGTGCAAATCTAGCCTTGATTTCTCTGGATTTGGGGCAAAAGTTGACTCATTAGATAAATGTCGGAAACTTTTTCACTTTGGTGTAACTGGGATTCAAAAAAAATGTACTACCAGTTCTGTGGGTATGCTTTGTGGGTGTGGTGTGGCTTGGTGGGCGTGGCAGGGGAAGGATACTGTAAAGTCTCCATTCCCTCCCCACTCCTGGGGGAAAAGTTACTGCAAAATCCCCATTCCCTCCCCACCCTACTAACCTGCTTTCCAGCTCTGTTCTCCTGTGCAGGGCAACCAAAGAAGACCCAGCTGGGACTTGGGAGGCAGAGTAGATGGGGGCGGGGCCAGGCAGAGGTGGGATTTGCCAGTTCTCCAAACTACTCAAAAATTTCCGCTACCAGTTCTCCTGAACTGGTCAGAACCTGCTGAATACCACCTCTGGTGCAGCATTTCTCAATTGTGTTGTTTTCTTATCAGGGCAACCTGATCTACCAATTATGGGAAGAAGCATACTGTTTCCGCTTTCTCCTTTCAGCCCCAATCCAGGAGCCTGCACAGGCAGTTGCTTTCGTGACAAACTATTTTTGAGTTACATTTATGTTTTACCGACAAAGAAGTCTAGTCTTCCTTTATTTTTTTGTTGGTAAAACCTAAATTTAACACAAAAATAGTTTGTCATGAAAGCGACTGCCTGTGAAGTTTTCTGGATTGGAGCTGAAAGGTGAAAGCGGAAGCAGTATGCGCCATCCCATAATTGGGTAGACCAGGTTGCCCTGATAAAAAGCACTTAATCTTTCCCTTGGTATAGCCAATAGTGAGGAGAGCCTGTGGCTTAGAGGTTAATACATCTACCTAATATGCAAGTAGGCTGGGTTTGAATCTCAGAAGGGTATGGCTAGCTGATGAGAGCTAAATAGCTTGAGATAGATCTATGCTAGTCTTCCTTTATTTCTTTGTAAGTAAAACATAAACTTAACACAAAAATTTCTCAACTGTAGTTGTGCTGTCCCAGCCAGTCTATGGGAATTGGATAGTTACTTAGGAATTATGAGCTGTCCCCTTAAGGGAATGCATCATGGTAAATGTAGTTAAAGGTATCCTGGGAAATGTAGTTCATGTCACGTGGCTACATCTGTAATCCTGATTGGTCACTAGTTTGACCCTCAATGGGTTGGAGGAGTTTTCCACATTCTTTGTCTGAACTCTCTAACTCATGGCAGCTTCTTTCTATCGCTACAAGATGGGTTAGGAGATAATCATCTTTTATTACAAGGCAGATAGACAAAGGATTGGTCATTAAAGAAGAACTTCATCACAAACATGAGTTATGAGGATACCTGATGAACCAATAAATGAAATTTGTTATGGATGTCTTGTTGAGTTACCTATCTGCATCTGTACAGCTTCAAACCTACCTCTGTGCAGAAGGCAGAAAACTAGAAGGCAGAAAAGTAGTAACTTTACAAAAAGCATTTGGAAGACAGCAATGGAAAACCACTTTAAGACTGTTGCTGAGAAATTACCACTGTCCAGAAAGTCACCAGGAAGTGTGTTTGCAGGGAGGGGATCAAAAAGGTCAAGGTGCTAACCACATCCATAGTTTGGGAAAGTGTCAGTTAGACTGGAAGGAGGGGGGGGGTCAAACATGGACTTAGCTTAGCGTCCTTGTATAGCTGCAAAAGCAGTGGTGGTATTCTACCAGTTTGTCTCGGTTCTGCCGAGCCAGTAGCAGTGATGAGCAGCAGAGACCGAACCAGTTCTCTCCACCGCTCTGCTGTTAGGACCACCCACCCACCTGGGCTCCCATACTCACCTTTATCCTCTGAATTTGAAGCACAGCTGCTTTGCGCAGCACAGAAGAGTGCTGCGCAACAGCTGCTGAAGTGATCGGGATCGTGCAGACTTGCAGGAGATGAGTTAGAACGCCTCTGCACCTGTGCAAAGTGTGTGTTTGGCGCACGCACACAAAGTGTGTGCATGCGTGCAAAGCACACCCACTAAGCCACTCCCACCAAACCGGTGGTAAAAATATTTGAATCCCACTACTGTGCAAAAGGCATAAGTTTGACCTTCACCAAGATCCATGAAGCCTAATTTGGTAATTCCTAGGAGAAGTCTCCGGAGATTCCTGTAATTTTGGTAGCGAGCAAAGGAGTTGCTTTAGTGAATTATGAGTGGCTCTAGTTGTTTGCACCTAACACCGTGTAATACATACACAAAAGGTTAGAACTTTGGTCATGTACTTATGGCTACTATCTGATTTCTTTTGAGCCCCTGGTCACTAGGTTGATCTGGATTTGAAGGACAATTTACTTGCTAGGAAAAATCTTTGGGTTCCCTTTAAAACCTGCTTGTAACGTTGTTGTAGAGAGAATGTGCTATTTTAGCCACAGCAAACTCTGCATTCCCAGGAGGTATTAACACCTAGTAAGTAGACCCTTTCCAACTTGGAAATGTCCTGATGGAGTGAGAAACTTTCTCGATGCCCAGATTTGAGGGCATATAGGAGCTGTAGTTCATCCCAGAGGGAGGATCGTAGAATCAGGATCTAAGTTATATGCTGATCCATCTTCCTTCTTCCTTTCTTTTCAGATGTTTCAAGTCCAGGAGATCCAGAAGAAGCAATCGATGGTGGAGCTGACCTCTCACAACAGTAGAAATTCACTCCTGAGGCGTTCCAGCTATGCCTTTTCCCACAAGGAAGGATATGCCCATCTCATCGCCAAAGGAGCCAGTCTGCGGAGCAAGCGTATCCCCGTTCGCAGACAACTGAATGGCTTCTACAGCCCTGAAAAAGACAACTCACCGCCAACTGAGATCAACCCTGCTTCTAAAGAAGCTTCTGTGGAGCAGAAGGTCCAACTCATTTGAAGGAGACAAAGCCTGTTTCAGAGAACAGGGAGGCCCTATATTCCTTGTCCTGCCTAGGGGTGACTTTTGCCTGAATGGCACGATTTCTTCCTGAAACGGAGGCCTGCACTTGGCAGAAGCTTTCCATGGACAGTGCCTGTATGTCGTTCATGAAGTTCTGAGTGTTGAATCTGAGAGACATCTGATTGATCAGAACTTCGTTGATCAGATCTTCTCATTCTTTTTTTCTGCCATATCCGAAGGTTTACTTCTACTCTGTGCAATATTCTTACAAGGGATAACCCACCTTGGCTAGGTTACATGGGGATGGTGGGCAGTCAGGGTCTACTGAAACTGCCATCCATGCCATCCGAAGAAAACGGTTTGCTCCGGTTCCAAATCTGGAAGGCTTTGCAGATCTCAGCCTGAAGTTCTCGTCTCTAGGCAAGTTTAAATGCCTCTGAACTGTGCAGGGTAGCTCCTGGTAAAGGAGAAAATCTTTGCTTGCAGAAAATCACCATCTCAGGCAGGAGGTCCTCTACATTCCAGTTATGGTAAGAGTAGATAGTGAATGCCGGAAGGAAGGCATGCCATAACTTTAAGGGATTTGGACTTCAACTCCCAGAATTCTTTGGTCACCGTGACTTTCATGATGTTTCAGAGTCTAAGAGGTTAAGCAGGTTTGCAAAGCCGAGTCCAAACACCATTGTACCAAAAAGAAATTTTTATGTCCCAAATCAGAGAAAAGGCTATGCCATCCAGCACATTCTTCATGAGGGTTTCCAATCAAAGGTCTCTGGAAGGTCCATAAATAGGCAATAACCTTCTTCTGTTTGTTGTCCCCAGTGCCTGGTGTTTAACTTTCATTTTAACTTGTGAAATACCAATTAATATAATTTGAGAAAGTACGCGGACAGCCAGATCTGACAGAATTACTACTTAATTTAGAACAAACATGCAAAGAGCAGGTTGCGCAGTGGTGAGATTCTGCCGGCTTGGACCTGTTCAGTGAACCAGTAGTTCTGACGATCAGTTTGCCCCACCCACCCGTCCCCGCCCTATCCTGTCCTTTATTTCCTGCTTTTTAGCTCATCTCCATCGTGCGGCACACCCCTTGCTGTTCTACTTACTGTTGCTGACTTGGAAGGTAAGCAACTGAGCTTCTAAATGTGCCATTTTCAGCGCTGTGCCTTAGGTGCATGTGCACACGTGAAGTGCGCGCTCACCGAACCAGTTGTTAAACCGGCAGCATCCCACCCCTGAGGTTGGGAGATCTATGGAAGTTCCCCAACAATCAGTCCTCATGCCAACTGCCTATTGCCAGCATTTGGTATCTAGAGATAGACTGCTCCCGTTTATGGATAGTTCCTACTCAGCTATCATGGCTTTGCAGGCAGGGGGCAGACAATCAAAGTAATATGATGGCATAATTTTCAATCTACTTTTTAAGATTTATTTTAAAAAGTGGTGTTTCATCTACCTTTTCTAGCTGTGAGAAAGATGAACTATATGTGTTTACATACTTCTTTTAAAAATATAATAAACATATTTTTTAAAAAACAATCCCCTTTTAACATTAAATTTGTTTATACAATCCTTCCTTCCTTCCTTCCTTCCTTCCTTCCTTCCTTCCTTCCTTCCTTCCTCCCTCCCTCCCTCCCTCCCTCCCTTCCTTCCTTTGTTGCATAATAAAGGACCAACATCCTTTCAGAAGTTGCTGAATAACCACTTCTAATACCCTCAACTGTCATGGTTTGTGGTTAAGGTTGCTGGGAGTTGTAGTTTAATACTTTCTGAAAGGTTATTGGTTAAACACCTTGCAATGTATTATTTGATTTATACTGGGTATCACATTGAGTGGATCTGCAGTGTTTTTCAAACTTGGCAATTTTAAGAGGTTTGGTCTTCAACTCTCAGAATTCATCATCATTGAGGTAGCTGGGGAGTTTGGCAATTGATGTCCAAATATTTTAAAGTTGCCAAGATTGAGAAATACTGCTGTAGAATGATATAGTTGCCATACAACATGAGCCACGGTGGTGCAGTGGTTAGACTGCAGTACTGCAGGTTACTTCTGGTGCCTGCCAGCTACCTAAAATTTGGCAGTTCGACTCTCACCAGGCTCCAAGTTGACTCAGGTTGACTCATCCTTTCATCCTTCTGAAGTCACTAAAATGAGGACCCAGATTGTTGGGGGCAGTATATAAGTCTAAGTCGGGGTGTCAAACTCGATTTCATTGAGAGCTGCATCAGAGTTGTGTTTGACTTCACAAGGCTGGGGTGGGGGTGGGGGTGGGGGGCTGGCCATGGTGGGCGTGACATGGGACTCATCTCAGGAGCACCTGTGGGCTGTGGTGGACTTCCCTGAGACCCTCTCTCAGTCTCACTATTATCTCCTTCCTTCCTTCCTTTCCTGCAGAAATTGGGGCTAAGGTTATTATTTCTGTCCACTCCTATACGATTTGAGCAGGTGGATGGCTCTATCCTGGGGGGAAGCCAGCTATGCATCGTACTGAGTTAGTATGCATGGATATGGGAGAACACTGGGAAAATATTTCATTTGTGGTGGTTGAACGCATGACAGAGGCCATCATCCTTGGGTTAGTGTGGTTGGATAAATGGGGTCCAACGATCCAGTAGGAAGGGGGGTTTAGGAAATTGCAGTTGGGAATAGGCCCTGAACCCCCAAAAGATGAGGTGACTAACACGGCAGCCTACCGGTTAGTGCCTGAACAAAATAATAAAGCCAGCCTCACATACCCTCCTATGTATAATGATTTAGCTGATGTTTTTAGTGAGTCTGGAAGTGACCAGTTATTGCCCCATAGGGTTACTGATTGCATGGTAGAATTATTACCAGGGGTAGTTACCTAAACCTTGTATGTATTTGATGACCCCCTCAAGAAATGGAGGAAATGCAAAAATATATAGATACAAATTTGGCAAGGGGTTTTATTAAACCGGGATGTGCATATATTGCAGCTCTGGTATTGTTTAGGGAGAAGGATGGCGGGCTTAGATTATGTGTGGACTTTAGAGGATTGAATGCGGTATGTAAGGAGCCACTATAACCATTACCACTTATAAAACATTTATTAGCTACAGTATCAAAAGGAAAATACTTCATAAAATGGGACCTACATGAAGCCTATTATAGAGTCTGCATACATCCTGGTGATGAGTGGAAGACAATTTCAACTGCCCATTGGGCAGTTATCAATTCCGGGTCATGCCTTTCAGATTGCAGGGAGCTCCGGCTGTCTTCATGCAGGTTATAAATGAGGTGTTGCATGAACATTTGCACGAAAGATGTATTGGTATATCTTAATGATATATTGATATATATGGATACATTTGAACATCATGTACAGCTGGTGAGACAAGTGCTTACGAAATTATTGGCAACACAGCTGTACATTAAACTATCAAAGTGCAAATTTCACCATTCTCAATTAGATTATTTTGGATATCGTATATCAAGTGAAGGAATTGAAATGGACCCCAGCAATGTACAAGCTGTGTTGGACTGTCAAGCTCCTAATATGAGAAAACAACTACAAAGCTTCCTGGGGTTTGCTAACTTTTACAGACAGTTTATATCCTTGTTTGCTACTCTTGCCCTGCCATTAACTGATTTATTAAAAACAAAATCAGGACAGACCATGAAACTCCATCCAGGGCAATCCATTACCTGGTTGGATACATGTCAATGGGCGTTTGATTCCTTTAAGCAGATATTTGCTCAAAAGCCTGTATTGAAACATCCAGATATGGAATTGTCATTTTTAATTCATGCAGACACCAGTAACGTGGCAGTGGGACTGTTCTTTTACAAAAGAATTCAAATGTAGTTTGCATCCATGTGCTTATACATCAAGGAAATTAAGTCCAGCTGAGAAGAATTGGGCTGTTTGGGAGAAGGAGGCCTTCGTGGTACGATGGGCCTTGTTGACATGGAGGCATTTCCTTGAGAGAGCATAACATATGGATGGTATGGATGGATTATAAGAACCTGGAGGCACTCCAATCACCTCGAAGATTATCACCTAAGCAGATCCGGTGGGGCCTATATTTTCGGTGGTTTAACTTTGTCCTAAAGTACGTACCAGTGGGAAAGAATTTTTTAGCTGATGCTCTGTCAAGGTTACCACAATACAACAGTAGATGAGAGATAATAGTGCAACCGATTATACAAGGGAGGGAGACTCTACAGTCATTATGAGTGAAATTATTGGCTCAAGATTTACTGAACACTATAAAGGAAGACCCATGGTTAACAAAGAACCAAACACAATGTGATATCAGCAATGGTATTGCATAGAGAGGAACAAAACTATATATACCAGAAATTTACACCGTTGCCATGATTTTAGGCAGCCTGGACATTACTGATTCTTAAAAACATTACATCTTGCCAAAAGGCAATTTTGGTGGCCTTTAATGAGATCAGATATTAAACTTTATGTAAAGACATGTATGGTTTGTGCTATCACTAAGTCTCTACCTGGAAAGCCTATGGGATTATTACAAACAGTATTGAATCCCACTAAACCATGGCAAGACATTCCAATGGACTTTATAGTGGACTTACCTAATAGCCATGGATATACAGTGATCTGGACAGTCATAGATTTATTTTCAAAGCAGGTGCACTTTATCCTATGTGCTGGTCTACCCTCTGCTTGAAAATTAGCTACCATGTTTATTAAAAATATCTACAGACTACATGGGGTACCGAGAAGGATCATCTTGGATCGAGGAGTGCAGTTTACTGCTCAGTTTTGGTGATAAGGCTGATAAGAAACAAACGGACCATAAAATGTTCAAATTAGGAGACCTTGTATATCTCTCCACTAAATATCTAAATTTGGGGCTGCCATCTAAGAAACTGGGTCCTAAATATATTGGTCCATTTCCAGTGATTAAGATAATCTATCCTGTCACAATACAATTGAAATTACCATCATGATTTAGACAAGTGCACCCAGTTTTCCATATTAGCCTCATTAAACCAGCAGACATGGCGAATCCTGACATCCAACCTGATCCTCCAGACTCTGTTCAAGATGATCAATATGAGATTAGTGAAATACTTGATTCCCGAAGACATAGGGGAACCTTGCAATACTAGGTTCGTTGGAAAGG